GAGGGGGGAAAAAAATAAAAATCTATCATCCTATATTCAACTCATCTTGGAAACAGTCCTGGTGAGGTGTTCAATACCAAAGCAAAAGGTCTTGCGTTCCACATTAGTATTGGAGTATTATGAGTAGACTCGGTATTTGATAAAGGTACCCATGGTCCTTCTCCTCTGGCAGAACGTATGTGGAGGTTTAGGCAAATAATCAGTGGAAGCTACCAGATTGACAGTCCTCTTCAGAGATCACCGTGGGTCATGGAAAGCCTCTCCTTCTGCAGCCAAAAATCGAATTAGAGCAGCTAAGGTTCCTTTGTTCTTGTTTTGGAAGGTATCTTAGAACTAATAGGAGGAGATGTCAGACTTACTCACAAGGATTGACAGAAAGGAAGAAATTACCAGAAACACCGATTTCACACTCAAATTCAAAGGTAAGGAAAGGAACTTTTGCTTGTGACATACAAGAGGATGTGCCTGCCAGAAAAAAGGAAATTTTCTACTACAGAAAATAAAACTCTTAACCTAGGGTGAAAAAGGAAGCCCTGCACTAGTGGCTATTAATAAAGGATCAACTAGCACTCAGAAAGTGACATCTCATATGACCATGTCAGGGTTGAAGTCCCAAAGGGAAGGACAGACCTTCGAATATAGACCTCGACAGTAAGTAGGAATTGATAGTTGAGCTGAGAAACAGCAAATACTAGGACTGACCCAACTGACTAAAAAAGTTGGGAAAAAATGAAGTACAAAGGTAGACGCACAGGGAACGGGGTTCAGGTGTTTTCCCACGGATGCTGCTAAGAGGAAACTCTCCAGCTACTGTGGGTTAAGTGCACATTTGTGTAAGCGGGACAGGTCACTCTTGGTGTGCAGGTCACTTTCTGTAAAGATTATACAAAGAGAATCCATAAATTAAAGAACATCAAACTGCATAGTGGAACTCCCATGGAGGAACACATAAGGCATGTTATTAATAAACACCTGTGTTTCTTAAATATCAGCTGTAAGAAGTATTTGCAGAAGGTAGTGAAGAGAGCATACCTCAGGGATGAGCTTAAGGAAAAAAAGAAAAAGATGAGGCTGATGGAGTATTAATCAAAAATCCTCAGGTCTGTCAGGATAAATTTCATTTGTTTGCTGGTATTTCTATCTTCATCCACGACGGTATGCTCTCTCGACAACAGAGGCCCCAACTGCTCTAATGTCATCAGCAGAGGCTTATAAACGTGACTGCCAAGCTTCAGATGTTAGTAACGTTTCATTCAAGTAGTTAAAATGTAATTCCCATTCTTCATAAGGGCCAGCCGTACGGTTCTGATCAAGTCCCTGACCACAGTTCATCAACCTGTACAGTGCATATGAAGCACTTTCACTCTCACTAACCATAAACCAAATGAGAAGAGTTTCCTCATAAGACTTCATTTCCCTAATTTCAAACACTCAGGAACACAGGGTTAGAAACGGTTACTGCTTCTCGGTTATTATGTCCCTTGCTGTTACATTGCACAACTCTGCTCTTAAACTAATTAAGAGATCTTAAAACTAGTTTCCCATCTCCACAAGGTTGGTCAACAACTCTCCTTCACTGTTGCCTAGAAACTGTCTTCAAATTTTCACATTCAATTTATGCACATCCAGTTTACATTACATCCAGATTACCATATCAGGAGGTGAAAAAAAGAAGTTATGTGAGCACAAGGGCTAAGCAATAATCTCTTTCTCCCCTATTGGTCTAGAAATCTATCACAGAGCTCCTCAGCTTTTGATTTGCTTAACTGAATAAATCTTTTATGAGCTGCCTTTACAATAGGCACTTTACTCCCCCAATCATTCACTCCAAGATTATTACAGGGAATACCTCTTCTACCAAGGTTTTGCTGTCCATGTAGGGAGTTAGCCAGTGTCCTGTGTTGAGCTAAAAACCCAGTTCTGTTTACCTAATCTTAACCCATGACAGCCAGTCAGAAAGAAGTTTTCCTGCTTTTGCTGTACATGATTCAGGGAAGAAAACAGCCAGGCTGTGAGTGAAGGAGTTGCTCTACATCTCCTTTTTGCCCCCAGCCTTAAAAGATCCCATATGTTACAGTAGATCTGTCATCGCTGTACATATGTGGGGATCTGTAACACATGAAGCTATAGCATTTCTAACAGCTCTTATAGCATCTTTTATCTGAGCTGTCAGCTAGGTACTACCCCCAAAGACACTTGCTTTCCTTGGAATTCTGGCTACAGAAATCCTGATCTGCAGAACCAACGCTGGGCGGGCTGTCTCGGGGTTTCCAGCTGCATCCCTTAAATCGTACAAACATTTGATCACTCCTGATAAGGCCAAAGGATCTTACACGAAACAGATTTATTCTGTGATCAATGTAGAGAAGCAGGCTGGCTCAAAAAAAAGATCAAACTCCACTGAAAGGTGGTTCTGCCACCTTTTTTCCTGGCCTCTTTGGGCTCTGTGTTATAACCCTGACAGGAAAGTCAGTCAATAACCACATCCAGGTCCTCAACTGCTCAACAGCAGAGGGGTGGTCACCTAAAGCACATACTCACAGAAGCTTCCACAAGTAATTATCACCTTGGAAGAAGCTGCCAGGGCAAGGGAATTCTCATCGCTTTCATCTGAATTCTCTCAGAATGGCAATTACAGGATATTGACATATCCAGGGCAAGGGAATTCTCATCGCTTTCATCTAAATTCTCTCAGAATGGCAATTACAGGGTATCAACATACAGCATTTTGAGAAAAGCAGCAAAAACAAGTCCAGAAAATGTAGATTTCAGAGCATTCTTTGAAATGCTATGGAAGTTTTCTGTTCAGTTATCAGTTTCTGTCACTCAGTGGTCTACGCAGAAGATTACATTCTTTGCCAAGTAATCTCAATGTTAAAGAAAGCAGGATATTAGAGCTTTAAATGATAAGCTGATGCAAAGTAACGTGATCTGCATTAGCATCTAAATCATTCAATCAGAAGAAACAAGCCCCAGTATGACAAAGATTTTAAAACCATCACACCTTCTATCAGTTTTATCTGGAATCCGTTTGCTACAAGCCTTGGATCTGACAAATAACTTGATCCATTGAAACTCTGGTGATCCTTCTGCATTTTACAAAGAGCAGCCATATACTGAGATCCACCGACAAGGCTGAAGAAAAAAAGAAAATCCCCAAAGAGTTAAAAACCAAAACCCTTAATGTGAAAATTAAAACAGACAAATACAGAAAGAGGCAGCTACTGATGAGTGATTGAGATTTTTTAAAAGCATTATGAAAAAGCAACTTGTTTAAAGAAACAAAATCACAACTATTCACATATCTTTAAAGAGTGACCAAGTTTAGGCACGTTATAATAATAATTACATCAGCCATTCCCTGAATTTATTTCATGGAGTATGGCCAGGCCTGCTCATTACTATGAAATAAAACTATACAAAACATAAAAACCTGTTCTTGCAGATAAACGAATGCACAAATTATCACAGAATTAGCAAGCAGGGCCTTAGCAGAGTTTACTATAAGTAATTATCAAATGATACTTGAAATATCATCCACATTTTTGCTCAGTTGTACTATACCTGTCTGTTAACACAACGGGCTTGTCCAGTTTCTCTACTGGAAGCTTATGATTCACGAGTAATCTTCTGCATAGCAGGGCTTCTTCCAATCTATATGGATTCAGCAACATGAGCTTGTTTTCAGTAGCAAATACCCAGACATCAGGAAAACTCTGACGACGGATCAGGAAAAGCTCGTGTTCATTGGAACAATTCTTCTTGTGCCTCTGAAGCTGATGCCTACAGGAACTCAGAGAAAAAGGCACCGTCACAATTTTTGTTGGCTGTTCAGGTTTCCGCTTCTTTTCAGTTTGAGCATGGAATATCTTGTCAAGCTTCTGCTGGTCAGATGGGGAAGTCTTCAGCTTGGGTTTCTGTTTTTCTGCCTCCTTTGCTGGTCGGCGCACCATCTGTCCCATCGCTTTCTTGACCTCTCTGTTGTACCGCTCCAGGTCTTTCGCAGCTTTTATTTCATAACTTCAAAGAGAAAACAAACCGGTAGCATCATTAGATAAAAAAAGCAAAACTAACCCCCAAATCCTTGCATACTGAAACGAAAGGCAAGGTAGCCTTTTCAACGGACAACAACAACTTCCATGGGTCATTCAAGTAGCCACATCGATATGTGGATGGAGACGGAGATGCGATGGAGACAGAAGGGCATCAGGGACCGTGCCCGTATTACGTTACCCTTTGAAGACGACGAGTTGGAAATTTTCCTTCATCGTGACAGCCAGAAAAACCTGAATTACTCAAGGGGGAGGAGTAGACAGCATCATGCAAAAAGCTACGGTGAGTTGCTTTTGACCTCGGTCCCAAAGACTGCGTTCAACTCAAATCTGCAACCAGATATAGAGTCTTGGAAGGAGCTTCGTCACTGGCACGTCCAGCCCAATTTACAAAGTCATTTAAGCTTCTAGAGATGTCAATGGGAGTCCATGCGGTTAGCTAAGTCTGGAGCCTAAAGAACTTTATATTAAGTAAAGCTTGAGTCTTAGGAAGAAGTACACTCCATGTCAAATGGCCTAAAATTAGCCACAGAAGGAAAAGCGTAAGAATATAGAATAGCTACAAGCATCACAGAATTCTGTAGCTAACAAACTCAACGATTTTTCAAAGTACTCGACAACAAACTACTCTTAAATGCTGTCTAAATGGTTAAAGCAATGGATCTTTAATGAGTTTACAAATGTCAGGAAGATAGCTAAACTTTAATAGATGCCAGGTTTACGCTTGCCTACTGCAAATGAATCTTACTTTTTTTTGAAGGCCAAAGGAGTGATTTGCTTAACTCCTCCTTTTGCCCTTATTTGATATTCTGAATTCTAGCAGGTAATTCAAACCAGTCCAATATTCAATATTAATTTTTAAAAAGTAGTACTATCAGATGTAAGTATTAAAAATAAGTATTTTAGCTGGTCATATTTATTTATTGCTACTAGCTGGAACAGTTTGATTCAATTACGTGTATGGATGCTGGAAAATTAAGGTCAACAAAAGGGTCACCATTTGCAATTAATTATGATGTGCTAGCATTCACATATGGTACCAATATTTAGTTAACTAAAAAAGTCAGCTTAAACAGTTTCTTGCAATAAATCATGTCCTAGAAAATACGGAGTAAATGTTAAGATAAAAAACATCTGCTCCCTTTAAAATGAATGGACAAAATCACTTGAACAGAATTTTTTTTTAAAAATCCCAAATACATTTATAGTTTTGACCAGATCAATAAATATATTGTTTTGAGTAGACCCAATTGTACTGCAGGAGAATACTGAACTAGAAGAGAGCTGAGCTTACGGTGACACACTACTAATCCGAAATTCCAAAGAAAGTTCAATTTGCCTGTCCTTTTAGGCTACTGTCAGGAAAATTCTAGCTTTACAAGCTTTGATTGAGTGGGTTTTGTAAATTTGTATACCTCACTATCAGCGATTTGCTCCAAATCAAAGAAAACAGCAGGTTTACAAACTGCAAGGGAACACTTCTGCATTTTCAAAAATCCTGCCGGAGAGGCAAGTATAATCAAAAAGTGCTACAAGAACTGTTTCTTCTCTGCTTTGTGAATTAAGACTGGAAATTCAGGATCCTATCCTGAAGCTCCAAAACCTAAAGCCAAGAAAATTTGCAACACGGGGTGTGAGGAAGGAATGGAATACTAGAACGAAATTTAGTTTCAAAGGCAGCTTTGGTTTAACTGGAAGAATAGAACCACGATTTATTATTTTCCCCTTGCACCTTAAACCCAAATGAATTATTCAGCATACAGCAACAACCTTTCAGTAGAAGGTCTCTCAGACCTTATAAGGCAAATGATCTGAGTGCAACTATTTAGAGTAAACTGACTGGAAATGGCCACTTGTGTATATCCTTAAGTGTCCAGAATATAGAAGCATCCCATTCTGAATGTAACACAGCATCAGTCTCTTCACATAATGAACCTAAATTAACTCGAGCTATCAGCATGATTAAGTATTACATCCTATGCCTGTGTTTCCCTGCCCTGTGAAGAGGGAAAAGGGAAAAAAAAAAAACCAAAACACAAACCAACCTTTTAATTTCCCACATCAGCTTTTCAGTTTGCTTCTGCAATGCATGGGTGCCTAAAGCTGAGTGAACAGTGTGGACTGAACAGATGCTGGGGACAAGCAACAGTATGGAAGGACTGGTCCTAATTAGCAACAACGTTACTAATGATTAATATGTGGCAGTATATGAATGGAGCTGGCTAGAGATACAATGGATGGCCACCAACCAGCTGGTCCCACCAAACGACCTCCCCACCCAAAGGAAAGAGAACACGTTAACTAAAAGGTTAAAACACCGTAAAATGGCATTTTCTGTAATTGCTGAGCAAGCATGTTGGCCCCAATGTGAAAGAGCTGCACAAGCCGTGAGATGCACGGGAAGTTTATCAGGCAATAAAAAGCTACCACGCACGACCTAGTGACTCCCACTGACTGCCCATGTGCACGCTCCTACCTGTCAACAGACAGCAAAGGCCACGCTAGCTCAAAATGGGTTTCTCAGAAGGTACAAACATAAAGAATTACTGCAGAGTGCTGACAAGGAAATTTGTTGGTCCCACGATAACGTGCGTGCAGCACTGAGCCTTTCCCACACCTTCAGGATAACTACTGCTGCCATTACCATGGCACTTAGGGGGTTTTCTCCCACTCCCACCTGAGCCTGATATGCAAGAAATATTAAGGCCGGACACATTAAGTGTATTTAGTGTATTAAGTAAGAGCAGAGCAAGCGCAAGAAATTAAATCCTGGCTTTGCGGAGCAGGGGGATAGGCGATGCTGCCAACGTGGACATGCATGGAAGCTTTCCTCTTCTATTATAACCTAAAGACCATAACATTTTACATTCCGGTTGAGTAATAAATGCTGTCTTGTTTTGAAAAGGCTATCCTGTGTCACTGGGAGACATCTGTTGGCTGTACTGTTCCCAAAAAAGGAATTTAAACTCATTTAGACCTGCTGGAGGAGCCACAGAGAGCGAGCTGCTGAAGCTAAGCCCACCCGTTGGAAGACATGCGTGTGACTTTACAGCAGGAGGACAGAGCAGCGGAGCCCCGGAAAAGCGGGGTCTTGCCAGCAAGGCTGCGCGCGGTTGGAGGTACAGCGCGCTCAGAACCGTGACACTTCGGCTGCCCTGTTGGATATACATTTGCTGTTACCTCTAGGTGGCCCAATTTATCCAGGGTATCTGGATAGGCAAGACTCAGGTTCTCTGCCAGACACACAACAGTTCTGGACTGCTGCCTTGGAGGAAAACAAGACGTCTGCGCAGCTCTTCCTATCTGCTACTTTCTGAGGCAATTTGGAAAGATTAAAAGCAGAGAAGAGGTACACCAAAGCTGAAATGTAGGGATATAACTAGCAGTAAATATTTCATTCGCTTTATCACCCACTGGAGCATACTGCATTCAATCCTACCTAAAAGGAAAACTTCATTACCAGACAGGTCTCCTTCCTGAACTAATATAAAGTTAATCTGTAGGCACACTTATAACAGTTGTACCAGGAAAGTAACCATGGAATTTCAAGAGCTAAACAGACCAAATTAACATTTTCCAAAGCAGCCAGCAGAACCTTTTGTTTATCTTCATTAAGAGCACGCACATAATTGGAGAAGATTTCTACTATTACATTAATATTTCTGCAAATGCAGGAATGGACAAATTACCTACTCACGTGTATGCCTTTGTCATCGCGGCATGTTGTTTGCCGAGTGAGTTTTGTATAAATCAGAACCTCGATAAAAGGTTTTGCTTAACTCTGATAATAGCTGTCATTCAGAACAATGCAGATGTTTTCAAAGTGAAAAAGTCAAGGAAAACCCAGATATATTAATTCAATAACTATTGAGAGAATTCTTACCATTCTCCTCATCTCTCATCAGTGTCACTGTTTGGTTAGTACAATGTCCTGTTCAGTGGTCTTTAACAGCCTTGCCTTGCTTTCAGAACATGAAGAAAACACATTTTCACAACAGTTCCAGCAAGTTTGCTCTTCGGAACTAAAATCTCATTTCCCAAACCTTCTGCTACAACTCACAATACCCATTCAAATCATTACATGTAAAACTATTGAAGAACCACTTCTACTCTCCCCATTTGTGTGATGCCCTACAGCATTCTGTAATTTTATAAAGTTACAAAAAAAAGATGTAGAAGGTGGGTTTTTTTAGGTTTTTGTTTGTTTGGTTGGTTTTATTATCTGTCTTAGAATGTCCCAAAACCTGTTATTCTAATTAATTCATCTTTACCATAAGTGCCACATAAAGAACAAGATATACCTAATATTTTAACTAATCTAATCCCTGCCTCAATCTAGGCTAAAATATTTCCCCTAGTTGCAGATGGTTTTCAAAAACGCAGTGACAACTTGTTTTAGAAAAACACAGAAGTAAGACAGTCAGATTTTAATCGAAAAAGATACTTGGTTTTAATTGAAACAATAAGCTTCAAATCATACTATACTCTCTGAACCAGCACTGGAATAGCTGTTTAGGGGGAAAAGAAATTCTTTGTGCCATTTGATTGCGTTTTATGAATCCAATTCTGAGGCAGCCTGGGTTGGTACACGTACTAAATTTAGAGGAAAGAAGTTTAACAAATGTTCGAGTACTAAAGATCCTGAAACAGAATTTCTCACTTTGCAGCAATAAAAAAAGAACGGTTCATCGGAAAAGCTCTGGAGGAATTATCTGGTGCCTCATCCATCACCACGCTGGTTTTCACTGACAGTGCAGCAGGAGTGACAACACAGAGGCAGCTCTCAGAAAACACAAGTTTGCAGGATTTGAGCAGCACGTCTTCCTGCCTGTTATCTCTAAATATCAATTCAGCAAGCCCGTCCCTACCCAAACGCCGTGTGGCGCCGTGGCGAAACGATCACTGTAATCAGCAGCACACAGCTGCACGCAGCTAAAGATGACAACTCACAAGACCGGTGCTGATCCTGGAAAGCCATAAATCATTTTCTGCTCTAATTTTTTTCATAAATAACTGGAAAGTTACGATTTTTTTTTTTTTTAATTCACTACAGGTGACTCACTGGCAACTACCATATTTAGAAGCAAGCCACAGCCTGAAAACTTACTTCTTTTTTTCCTCTTTGTTCAAATTCTTCCACTGCTCTTCAATCTCCAGCAGAATGTCCTCCATGTTAGTCTTTGGGTTATCAGCTATCAATTTTGGACGACACTCTTGAGTGAAAAATCCCATCGCAGACTTTGGTTTCTTTATTATTCTACTACTAATTAAGTCATAAGCCTTCACGTGTCCAAATTTATCGCTTATCACATTTCTTTTCGTTGAGCTTTGATGTGAGATGTGTGGATCATCGCTCTGTTCATTTTGCTTACTAACTGTTCCTCCAGCTTCTGGAAGCAAAATCTTGACGGGTTCCAGGTTGTCTCCTAGGTGGTTTTTAAGTCCATTTCCCATACTCCAATTATCAGCAGAGATTTCAGGCAAGTCTTTAGGGACTAAGGCTTCCTCATTCGTTTCTATTTCGTCTACATTATCAGAACTCAAAAGATGTTCATCAGGTCTCCTAGACTTGGGGTCCACGAGAACACCATCACTTTCAGTATCGGTCATATTCTGTCCAATCTGTTGCTCCTCACACAATAAATCTAAGGAACTGACTGGAAAGGCATCACTCTCAGAGAACTCGTTTTTGTTCAGGCGACTACATACATTATCACCGCAAAATGTCTGATGATTTAAGCAGATCTCTGTTTTTTTTCCTGCTTGACAGTTTTGCACATCACTGCTGAATGAAAGGAATGAAGCATGAGCATGGAGATCATCGTTTCCAGATGGTCCCATTTCATTAACAGCCACATCTGTTTGTTCTGTTCTATGAACAAACTTGTCTTCTGAGGTAACATCTGTTTTATTACTTTCACCAGGGACTGTAGCAGGTAGTGGCCCATACAGTGATTTCAGCACATTTTCAACAGCAAGTAAGACAGATTCCTGAAAAAAAAGAAACCAAAACAAAATAGAGAAGCCACACACACAAGCAAATGTGAAAATGTAACTGATAGATATTGGGGATATAGAACAAGAAGCAAAGTGATCTTGATTAGATTATTTTTCAGACCAATCTGGACAGATTATTGTATTTGAGTTGCTCACACATGCTCAGAAAGACTCTGAGCTGGACACCTTCAGCCTCAAACATTTTGCGATCGTTATTCTGCTTCGCTGCTTATCACAAAACCCATTAACCGTTTTCTTTGTAACAGGACAGAGGATGCTTAAACCAGTACCAGGTAAAGCTTTTCCCACCTAACGCGAAGTTGGAAGCTTACAGCCAAGAAAGTTGCACCAACAACATCCCATTTCACATAAACCTGTTTGTGGAGGCGCTTTCATGGCACGTGCTTCCAAGACAGCTTTGCACCAAATGATGAAAATGAAAAAACCCAACAAACCCAAACCCACAAAACAAGATAAAAAGCAACCCTTTTTCTAACGCCAAAGGGAAGTTTTAACCTGATCAAATGCAAGAATGCTAGGTTCATTTTCATCAAAAGTGACCCTTGACAGGCAGTACGTTTACAAGATTCACGTAAACAAATACAACAACTTTGAGTGGAGAAGAGGATTGACGCTCCGGTGTGACTGCCTGCATTCGGTTTGAATAACCCACCTTGCTTTTGTAGCCTTTTTAATTTCTGTGGTACTGTTTTATCATAGGAAGTGTTAATAAGCAAAAGTGAATTTATGGAAATTTCACAGAATCACAAAACGTTCGGGCTTGGAGGGAACCTCTGGGGATCATCTAGTGCAACCTCCCCCTGCCAGAGCAGGTCCTCAAACTCAAGTGATATCAGCAAGACTCTGTACACATAATGGCAAAACATTGCTTTAACCCAAAACCGCACCTGTAACGTACAGGATGTTTAAAAGGTCTAATGATGAAGGTAAGCACGAGATTTATGTAGGGACACACATGATAAATCCCTATCTTCTATCACTGTAAAGCCATCTGAAAACAAAGGTGATGCACGCACGCATCTGACAGCCTTAAATTGGTCTTTGAAATCAACTGGGAAATTAATTTTGAATAATCTCCCACGTAGCATGTCCAATGCTTTTCCAACGAAACAGTCCTGTGACAGAGGCAAGCAATCAGGTAACTAAAAAAAACCACATACATCAGTGGCACTGTTTACTTTCAAACATTTCAGTAGTCCAGAAGCCCTTATTATTATTCTTATATAAGTAAAAGGCTGACAGCTTAAAACCAGATTAAAACCTTAGTTACCTTATCATGCAGCAAAACTTGAGTTTTATCAGGTGTTAAATTCACATCCACGGCCGAGGCAGGTACAGTAATATTCAGAAAGCAAACAGGATAGAAACGAGCACAGTCCTTGTGTGTCACCAGGCTGTAGTACTGTCGAATTAACTACAGATTGATTTCATAAAGACATGTCAGTAAAGGCAGTAAAATAGACACAAAGGCACAGAAACAAAATTTGACATTACAGAAGCATAACAGGTTTGTTGGGAATTGGTTTGTGGGTGTTTTTTTTTTTTTTTAAAGAAATACTAAAAAGGTGCTCCTGGGTGTACATGTATGCTGGAATAATCACCAAAAAGGGAGTTATTGGTGGTTTCCATGTCTTCCTAGCTAGATTGTTTTTTTTTAAAAAAAGGAACCAGTTCTAAGATAGCACTGGTATCTGCTCTGACCGGCTGAATTAACATATTCATGATATACTCAGGTTGGACTGCAACTCCAATCCTCACTTCCTCAATCAACAGAAATACTATTATTTGGTTTTTAAAGAAAATTTACTTCTACAATGTGCAACTACACTGTTGTCTCTTTTAGAGAAACTAAAGTCTGTTTGCACCACAGACCTGCCCTTTTCCCAGAACGGGATTAATCTGTTCTTTTATTAACTCAATTATTAAATTTACAGCTTTTCTCAAACTCTGCTTGCCCTTACTCTTTTCTCTATAACCCTCTCAAAAGCTCCACCAAAAGACTGCAGCACGACTTAGTTGTTTCAGAATTCTGGTCTCGTTAACCAGAAGGATCAAATAAAGATTCTTGCATTTCTTTCTATTATCACGAATCCTTCAAGATACTGGAGAAAGGAATACGTTAACGAGACAAAAAATAAAAACATGAAAGCATAAAAATATGAAAGCTGTCTCTGTCATGGGATTCAAGCCAAGCCTTGAGCTCCCAGAAGAACCAGGCACATTGAAAGCCGCGTGGAGGTGGCTTATCTGTCACACAAGTTGAGGTTTTACACCTACAGAGCTCTGCTTGCCAGATGAAAACTCCTTCATTGTCTCCGCTTTAAAGCTTACATGGACACTTTGGCACAAACTTGATTTTCTCTTCTGGGGAGGGCAAGGATTAAGAGAGCAAGGCTGCTCGGAGAGAGGTGCCGCAGGGTTCAGCAGTGTGAGAAACCCAAGAGTATCAAATTCTGCCTACACAATGATTAGCTGTAGCCAATGCTGCTGCACTATCACTTTCATTTTTATCCAATGCATACACAGCTTTAAAGGCAAAGCGTGCCTCTCGGCTTGATAAGCCCACAGCAAGAAGCTGTGGACAAAATTTTGTGGATAAAAATCAAAGCTTTATTTTCAGAAAAATTCTCTTAAAAAGAAACTACATAAAATTCCCGTATGGAAAACTGCACAGGTGTATTTCTGCAGGCTAATTGAAAGGAAAAAAAAACCCCACAACTATTCTGGTCTCTCAAGAGAGTAACTGAAATTGCATTTTTTGGTAACAGCCATACACATAACCTCCAGCTCTGCGGTCGTGACTGCCTGCAAATGGAACTGAAGGGAGGCACCAGGAGCATCACGCTCATGGAAGAGGTTTCTGTTTTAAATGCTAGTATCTGCACCTGTAATACTCCAGTTATTTTATGTGGGGAAGAAAGCTGTGCGTGCTTCTGTTCTCAAAGAATCACAGAACGGCATAGGCTGGAAGGGACATTAGAGATCATCTAGTCCAACCTCCCCATCATGATTCTATTCCTTGAATAAAAAGCTAGAGGATGTTACCTTCAGTATTTCCTTCGGATGAACTGGACGATTATTTATAAAGACAAAACTCCTTTCTGAACTCGAAAGGCTTGTCAAAGAACTGTCTGACTCAGCTTTTGGGAGAAATCCTGAGAGGTTTATCTGCAATGATAACAAAAATACAGTGGAGAAGTCTTTTAAAGAGAACCCCCCAAAAGTTTGGTTTGTTTTTTAGAGACAAGATATTAAAATGAAACTGCCCTGGAGTCCAAGTTTATTTAAATAAGTAAGTAAATAAATAAATGAATGGCCTTGAGAAGGATGGGTGTGTGTCTATTTCCCTTGATCAATTTATTGAGGAATTTACCCGTCTGAAGTGCCAGTTGCATCAGGTCACTGGCTGCAGCCGAGGGCTGTGGAGAACAACGCCGGGCAGCTTCAGGCTGGAGGGTTCCCAACTTCACCCCTGCCCAAGCCAAAGGCACGCGCGGCCGCCCAGCCCGGTAACAAATCCCCCCTCTGGGGAAAGCCCAAACCCACGCAATCCCTCCCGCTGTGTTCTACACGCAGGGCACCTTAAATAGCCTGTCCCAGGGCACTGAATTCAGGGCACCTAAATTTACCTACGCCACCTGTATCCAAATCATCTGACTCGCGAGAGCGCTGAGTGCCCGCGATTCTCGGGCCGCAGCAGAACCTGTGAGCACGCGGCCCTGCCAAGGAGCCTCAGAAAAAATCACGCCATTCGAGCATCTCCACGTTCTAAGATTTTTTTTCCTATCGAGATTCTTAACTTTTTTGGTAGGTCAAAACGAGGCCAATGACTTGCATTGCCTGTCGTCCCCCCCACCTCCCTCCAAGCAATTTGGAAACCGTTGGATCGATTTCAACTCAATCCAATGAAGAAGCACAAATCCCAAAGATATTATATTTCCACAATTTCTGTGATAACCGACAGCTGTTTGGAGAGGAGAGCTTCGAGATAATGACCTTACTGCGGAAAAGGCAATCTGTGGCTTTCAAAAAGCCAAGATCCATCAGCGCAACCAGCCAGCCCACATACTGCCCCACACATCGCCCCAAACTAAGAAGCGAAGGATCCCTGGGATGGAGATTTTGGAAATACAGGAAAGTTCAGAGAACGTTCTGGTAGCAGGGTGGATGACTGAACGCAGAAATCGGACCTCATTTTGGCTGAACCACTTGCATACACTAAAATCCAAATTATTATGCATTTGAAACGGAATTTAAAATCCCTGGGATTTGGCCTGCCCTCCCTGTCCATCTACGTCACGCCAGCTATCTGCTTCGTGCGCTCCCTTATTCCCTCTTGACCTTGTCGTAAGCATTCTGTGCTAAAGCTGGAGTGTTCTGGTCAGCAACGTCGCACAGAACCAAACACCACTGGTCAAGTTAAAGAGGTGTCAAATATCTGTCGGATGATTATCAAAAAAAAAAACCACCCCAACCCCAACATGCAGCACCTTGAGATTTAGTTTGGCAACTTTAGCACACCCTCCCTATGCTTCAAGCTCCTTTTCTTATTCCCAAATATTCACAGGAGTCTTTCATTTCAAACAGTATTTTTTTTTTTTTGCATACAGGCAACATTAAAGCAAAACTGAAAGTCTCTAAACTCATTTAAGAAGCCAGATTTAGAAATGGCTGACTGCTGTTACTATTTAAAGCCATGCAGAGTATCAGTATGCTCATTAGAAGTTAGCAACAATTTCTAAAACTAGCCTTAATTATAACTTTCACATGCGAAAGTATGTGAAAGACAAAATTACAGAGACTGGAAACTCTAACAGCATCTTTACTTCTAAATTAGATCACGTCTTTAAAAGTTAATATTTCAATTTAAATAAACCCAAAACTTACACACATCTTATATCTGTGTTGAGCAGACAGCAGAATTTCTTTCTTAACAACTTATCTTTTTCCAATCTGCTGAACTTAACCTCCCCAGAAAAAGAGGAGACTCAGAAAAACTCCTGTGTGAAAGTTTTCACCCAAAACAGACCCATCCATTTACAAGAGCAGGGACGTGAAAAACACAGATATTATATTTTCTCAGGTCACTTTTTATTTTACAAGTAGCTCCTGCATGCTCTGGAGTCAGCTTGCAATCTGTTCTTGTTTCATTCAGTGCTCATGATGGAAACGTTTTGAAGAGGGCCAGTCTCTAAAAACTCACTCATCACACGTTTTAACTCTGCAGTGAGTAACAGAGAGCTGTTTGTAGCAAGATGAGTCTTGTCTTCAGAGTAGACTTTGCAGCAAAGGAGTATGAAGCTACACAATAAAATAAGCAGGAAAGGAAAAGAATTACAGAGCTGCTCTCAGGTGTGTGCACCGAGAGGGGCATGGACCTAACAGAAAGGAAAAACCTTGTGATTAAATACCTGTCCCAGTTCTTGCACACAAGGGAGAACGGGAGGATTACACTGGCAACCTTAATTCTGTCATTTCACGGTGTTTGGCTGCTCAATTCAGAAACGTCCATGGTTTCTGACTGCAGATTTGCGCGTGAGCAATACGCGGGGATACACCCATAAACGATGCACGTGGTATTTTACACACTATTTAGAGACAGAGAGAGCTGGAATGTTCCCCAACTTCTATTCAAGGAATACGGATGCCTCAAGATACAGCAGAGAGGTAACGTGAGAACCTGAGAGCCTCCTTCAAGCAAGTCCCTTCTAAATATCCCCAAGCGTATATATATTCAGATTTTGTACTAAATTCCGAGTAATGCTATTAGACACAACTTACGTGCAGCACAGCAAGTGTTTAACACCCACTGTGACTTCACAGATGGTGGTTCACCTCATCTAAGTGACTGGGCAAGATTTATTACTACAAAGTACAGGAAAATGTAACTTTGAAAGACCATCACAGCAGCAAGACACCCCTTTATATGAATTTCTCTGGCAAAAATGGAAGCAGACTAAAAAAATCTTCTGGAAAATATCAGATAAAGGAGAATATCCTGAGGAACTCCCTCAATTTCAACAGGGGCCAAAACAGCCAAGTGCACTGAATTTTTGAAGTATTTCCTCGAAAGACACGTTTACTGGAAATTTTGCCTATCTCGCCCTCTCAGCAGGTGTTTCTTCGGCTGCTCAGGTGCCCCTCACTGAAATGGAAGGGATATCCTTTAGAGTGCAAGGCTAAGAGGCTGTGAAGATGAGAACGCTATAAATGCTTACATATTAATCAGAGCACAACCTGCCTGTGGGCCAGGAATCCCATCTTAGACAGCTCTGAGCAATCAGCAATTCTGCATTTGTCATCACAACTGTTTTTACTGCCATTTGATCAGTGCCACATGAGTCCCCACTAGATGATTCTTGGAGTGGATTTTCAATCACCAAACCAATTAATTTTACAGAAAGGACAGTAATAGAATCAAATGCATTAATCAGATGTCAGCCTGGAGATGATGCTCTCTTTTGCAGAGTCTCCTCCTTTTCGAATCTGGATTTAGCTCGCTTTACTGACAGGCTTTAAGTGGGTTCGGGAGAAGGAAGTTTAAACTCACCTCAGGATCCTCAGAGTGGTGTTGAAAAGGTACCATACTGCCCATAACGGCTGTTCCCAGAACTGACATACAGGCCATTTTGTGATCCGACACCCTGGTCTTCTGCCAAATAACTGCCTGAAACAAATGGCACGGAGTCAAATTTTTGACATTATATTTGTTGAACTCGAGTCATGTCGACGAACATGCATATGCAACTGCACACATACTGTATATGTAACATTCTGTACTTTGACCCTCTTACATTCACAACTTTCAGCGTTAACACATGCGATATGGCCCTTTTTGGTGTGTCTGCTCGCATTGTGTTACTTCTTTAGGCTCGTAGCAATCGGAAAACGAAGCAAAGCTCATATTTAT